TCAGAGGCAAGCAAGGCCAGGCGCTTCCCCTGAGCTCCCTACTTACTGGGAACTCTGAGACAAGCCAGACGTGGTCAGGGCCCCACCCACTTCCCTTAGCGGCTGTCCACGCTCTCTGTACAAGGACAGCTTGTGTCTCATTGGAGGGGCTCTGATAGAGTCTGGCATGTCAAAATGTGCCCCCCCCACGCAGGAACGGAGGGTCCCACAGACACTTCCTGGATACCCAGACACGTTGGAGTGTGGATTGTGTTTAGCCAGAAGCGACTTCTCTCTTACTCTCTTGTGCCTTGTGAGCTGTGCGGAAGTCAGGTCTGAGGGAAGGCTTCCACCAGTGTCACCGCACAGACTGGTGTGGACCTTGTGCGGAGCCTGTGAGGAGCACAGGGTGGGCTTTGAACTTGTGACCTTGGGCCATGTTCAGGTGGGACTCCCTTGGGGGGGCATTGGCTGGGCTCCGCACCCTGCGTGTCATAGAGTTTGGGGAACTCTGGTTCTGTGCTTTCAGTGACAGTTCTGTGGTCTTGAAGTATTGGTTGTGTCCTGACAGGGACTCCATTGGCACACACAGCTGCCTGTGACCGCATAGGTAGCTTTGGGATGGGGCCCTGCTGGAGCAGGAGGACGTTGGAGCCCTGTTCAAGGGCCTGCTGCTGGGGCCCAGGCGCGGGTGTGGTCACAAGCCAGGTGGAGCCCGACCAGTAGTAAGTGGAGTCTCCTCAGAGGCAGGCCTCCTGGGAGACCTCGTGAGGAATGGCGGGACGGGCCAGGTTCTCCTCATGAGGTGTGGCGGGTGTGAGGAAGAGGACCAGGTTATTGGGAAGCGGGTTTGCTAGGCACCCCAACCTGCAGAGCAGTGGGACTTGGAGGGTGGGGTGCACCCAGGGCCTGGAAGGGGCCTTCTGAACCTGTGACCGCTCGGGCTGGAAGAAGCCAGCAGCCCCTGGCTGCCTGCCGCGTAGCCTGTTCTGAGGAGGTAGATGGTGGGAAGGCAGAGGGGTTCTAGGGCCACAGTGCGGTCTGGCCTTTGAGTCTTAACGTTGACCTGCCCCTGCTGCAGTGCACAGGCGGCCAGTGCTGGTGTTGGAACCATGAATTGAAGGCCCCGCTTCACCCGAGTGGAGTGTGTATGTTTACAGGGGCCCTCTGCCCCTTGGGGGTGCCGACTCCCTCCCAGACGAGAAGTAGTTGATTGTGCGGGCTGCCCGCACCGCGTCCCTGCTTCCGCACTTCCCCCTTACAGTGGGGTTACGTTACCTTCAGGACTTGCCGTGCGAGTCCTTTGGTTTTGAGACAGGGCCTGTGCACCACCAATACCCTGCTGTTTCCTCAGTTTTAGCTCTTGGTTTACACATGCTCATGGCCCCGGGGGGGCCTTCACTGTATGGCCTTGTTCTGGAAGGATCCTGGATCTTGCCCCAGAACAGGGACCACACCTCTTCACACTTGTATGGAACAGAACGTTTCCTGCGTTCAGTTTATTGTGAGATTCCTCTAGAAGTGGGGAGGATTCTGGGTGGGGATGTTTTCAGAGTTGGTATGGAACTGATCCTTCTGGACTGATGGGCGGTCTCCTCTCCCCAGCCAGGCCACAGCCTTGCCTGTCCCTGTCCACACTGTCCCAGGTTTACTGCAGGGCCCTCACTCTTGAACCGCCCTCCTGCTGCCGATCCTGGGGCTTTGAGGAAACACCTCCTCCTGGACTGGTTGCTGGTCCTGTTTTGGATCCCTTTCCTGCGTTCTTGTGCTCTGTGGTGGGTTGTGTGTGGGGCTGGGGGTGGGGGCGCTGCTTGCCTCCATCTGTAGACCTGACATACTTACTCACTGAGACAGTCCTAGACATCCGTGTAGTTGTGGGGTGCTGGTCAGTGCTAGCCACCGTTGTGATTTTGGGGTACACTGTGACTGCCTCTAGGGCTGTGGCTGACGGGCGGTGGGATGCCGCTCCTTGGCCAGCCGGAATGTGGGAGTCAGGAAAGTCGTTGGAACACAAGGCTTCCAGAGTCTGTCCTGATCAAGGACAGGCTGTGACAACTGCTCTCCACAGGGTTAGGAAGGGACGCGTCATACACAGAGGCCAGGCAGGGACCCCAGCTCTATTTGTCAGAGTCTTGGGAAGTAGGGCTTGAGGGTTTGGGAGTCATTTACGGAGAGCATCATGTGTAGTGTGTGTGGGACCAGGGCGGGTTACAGAATGTGTTTTGTGCACTAAATTCTTCTTACCAGAGCCGCTGGAGGGGTTGCTCAGTGCTGGCCACTTGCCTAGGGACCATGGGTTTCATCCCCAGTACCGGAGAACAAAATAAAGGAAAGAGAAATGGAGCTGTGGCTCAAGTGGAAAGGCACCAGCCTTGGGCACAAATAATCAGGTGAGGTCTCGAGGCCCTGAGTTCAAGTACACATACTGGCACAAAAGCGAAAAGAAAACAACCCAGAGGAAAGAAAGGGTGTACACTGAGCAGGCCACAGCAAAGGAAATGAACAACCTAGGGAAGCACAGGATACCCAGGGGGAGATAGCTGTGGAAACTGGACCATCTGCTGGCCTCGGTCCTCTGTGCGTGCACAGGTCCATCACAGGGTCGGGGGGTTGAATGTGGGACAGCGGCTGTCCAGCAGTGGCTTCGGGCCGCCCGTCCTGCTGCGGCCTTGGGTGGAGCCTCATCAGTGAGAGGACTTCCCTGGCACTGCATCCCCTGGTTCCTTCTGGAAGGCTCCTAGGCCTGTTCTCTGTCACCCTGGTTGGGGGTCTGAGCTGTGAGTAGGTGGAGGGCTGTTGCTGCTCAAAGAAGGGCCACAAGGTGGCCACTGAGGGTCAGAAATGGTTAGCGAGGCCCCAGCGTGGGTCCAGACAGGTCTGGGTCTGCTGGCACTGGTCACCACGGCCGTCACTAGCTAGAAAGGTCCTCTGCGTGGCTGAGTCTCTCAGGGCGTGCGGGGAAACGGGGCTGGGAAGGTCGGTTTGTCAGTGCTGCTGAGCGCAGGAGAGGGGCGTCCGGGCGGTGGTTTGAAGGTACGCCGGCCTTGGCTAGTGACTCAGGGCAGTTCTGTGCAGAGGGCCTGGCTCCTGCCTGGGGAGCTGGCAGAGCAAGTGCACAGGTCATGGCGGAGCGCCCGCCGAGGGGGGCTCCGGAAGGGCGGGGCTCCCAGACCCTCTTCTGCTCTCTGAGGGAAGGACAGCTCCTTAGCAGGAACACGTATGTGTGTGTGTGGGGTCTTCACAAGGCAGTGTGGAGTGCCGCAGTGCTGTGTGTCCTTAGCATGTTAACACATCTCTGCGTAGAGGATGGGCCTGTGGTTACCTGTGGTCCCGGTCCACTGGTGATGGTGTGTGCGTGGCTTGAGAGCTGCTCTGGGCATTGGGCCAGGCTGAGGAGCCCCACGTGGGTGGGGTTTGCACACGGCCTCAAGCACACCCTTGCCCTTCAGCCTTCCAGACCTGGGCGGACTGTGAATCATTGCCCCCTGTGTTGGAGTTTTAGACTTTGCCAGAGAACCACGTGCGGGCCAGGGGCTTCATCATGGCGGACTAGGATGGATGGCTCTGTCCAAATAGCAGATAAGGGTCCTGCAGTTGCCCAGACCTGAAGCTCACTCTCAGGGGCTCTTGTTGCCTTCTATGGTGGCAGCTGCCCCAGAGGAGAGACATCCCAAGGTCAGGGGGTTGGAGGTTGATTATTTACTGCCTTTACTATGTGGGCCAAGTGCTGCCTACAAAGGGAGCGTGCTAAGCTGTAGAGAAGGGAAGGAGTGTGCTAAGCTATGGGAAGGGAGCTCATTTCCCTAACACCTTCTGTGGGTGACTGGATTTTGGGGTGGCCTGGGTGGCGTCTGAGAAGGGGCTTCCTGGTGAGGGAGGCCCTGTCTGGGTACAGAGCTGACCGCGCCCAAGCCATGCAGGGCCCTGGGCTACCACCTCTGCCTGTCTGCTACGGCGTGGGGAAACCTCAGACCTCAGCTGGGGTCTTGGCCATGTCCACCCCTTCCCACCGCCTGGCAGAGAGGTGGACCAGGGAGCCAAGTTGCTTTGTCGGGGACTAGACCTGCTGGACACTGGGCTTCCGCGCTCCATTGACGGCAGGACCTAGCCGTGGACTCCCAGGAAGGCCCAGGCTCCTGGCACGGGATGGCCTGAGGCATCTGGCCAGGGCCTCTGCCCTGGGGACTGTGGAGGGGTGGGCTGTACCCTCCTGGCGCAGACTAACACCCCTGCAGTGGGAGTGCCACCCTTTGAGGCCAAGCCCCGAGGGCAAAGTGTGAGGCTGGGAGTTAAGTATTAACCTCGGCCCGTGGCAGTGGCTGCGTGGGGCTCTGACAGCTGCCCGCGTGGGCTGGTGGCTGGGATGGGAGTCAGTCTGGGGCAGCCCAGTGACCAGTGGGGCCTGGGGATGGCTCTCCAGATAGACAGGTGGTCTCTGGGCAGTAGAGGTGCCTGGGCCATGGAAGCAGCTGTGGACACCACCAGAGCCGGCCTCTGCGAGCAGAGCACGGAGGGTGCGGCTCCCTGTCTGCAAAGGAGGACTAGGAGGGTGGGGGCTGCAGGTGTAGCTAGCCCTTCTGCTTGGGCACCTGGGCCCGGGCGGGGCTGCGCTGCCCCTGGGGCCGGCCAGCCTGTGTCCACTTCTTCCAGGCCTTTCACAGGGTTGCTGGTAGCAGCGGGTCCAGGTGTCCCCTGTGGTGAGGGGTGGTGAGCAGGCCTGTGCTGCCGCCCCTGAGGCCTTGGGGCTCCCTTGGACGTGTGAGAGAGAAGCAAGGCGGCTTTCTGGCCTGGCCTGGGTTGCTTCCTCCTTCCTGGCCGGTTTGTTTTAAGGAAGTGGTGGGGTGGAGCTGGGCCGGAGGACTGGCAGTGCTGTTTCCTTCCTGGTGTGTTTTCTTTGTCCTAACCCCTCCCCACGGCACCTTGTGGGTGGCTGGCGGGGCCCTGGAGGAGCAGCTGTGCCTGGGTCTGCACAGTGAGGAGTACTTCTGCTTCCCTGAGCTTTCTGCTGCCCCCGGCCTCAGACCCACGTACCGTGTGCGTGGGCAGCGTGCCCGGTCCCGGGGCTGCCCGAGCCCCCCTCGAGATGTCTGTCCAGCTCAGGACGAGGCATTCCTGTGGGCAGGAGGGCGAGGCCGGCGGGCGTCTCTGCGCTTCGGCTCTCACCAGGAACTGGGCCGTCACAAAGGTGGGCTTGGCGTCTCGCCGCCTGGCTCCCTGGCCGTGGGGCTGTGGCGCCGGCGGGCCGGCCGCGCCTGGAGGTCACCGGGGAGGATTGAGTGAGCAGGAAATCAGAGCAGGGAAAGTGTCTTTTCCATTTAGTGGAGGGTCTTGACCGCAGCCCAGACAGCTGAAACAGGAGCCACCCCGGGAGGCCTCACCGGTGCCTGGATGGCGGTGCTGGCGGCAGGCTGGGCCCAGGGGCCTGGCTGTTTGGGACCTGCTCACAGCCCTCCTTTGCCGCCCCCCCCAGCTCTGACACTGCTCACAGCCCCTCCTTTGCTGCCCCCCAGCTCTGACACTGCTCACAGCCCCTCCTTTGCTGCCCCCCAGCTCTGACACTGCTCACAGCCCCTCCTTTGCTGCCCCCCAGCTCTGTGCTCACAGCCCTTCCTTTGCCCCCCCAGCTCTGACACTGCTCACAGCCCCTCCTTTGCTGCCCCCCCCCAGCTCTATCACTGCTCCGGGCTTTGAGGAGGAGAGAGGCTGGACCAGGACCAGCACCAGCCTTGTGACAGGGCGTCAGGAGTGAGGTCACCAGAGGGGTCCTGTCCTGTCAACAGCAAGCTCCAGATCACCGGCGGCTGCCAACGCAGCTCACAGCACTGTGTTCCTGGGCGCCAGGGCCCACCTGACGGTGTGGTCTGAGGCCACAGCCCCCGGGGCTTTGCACAAGTGCGTGTGCTGCTGAGTAGATTAATCATGCGTGTATCTGAATGTTGTACACGGGTGAGTGTGTACACATGTGCAAATGTATATGTATCTACACATGAGTGTGTGTCTTCTGTGTGCATGTATGTGCATGCACATGCATGTACACGGATGTATGTTGTGGTATCTTATGTACACGAGTGTTTGCTGTGTGTGGTATGTGAGGTACACATAAGCATGTGTTTCTGATAGCTGCATGTCATGAGTGAATGAGCACACGTGTATATGCGTGATTCTAAGAGCATGTATGAGCGATGTGTACACATACATGTATACGGACGTGCACATTTGTGTGTACATATGTGGGTGCTGTGTGTGTTGTGGTGTCTGTGTACACGAGCATGGGTGGCCACTGAGTGCCATGAGTGAATGAACACACAGGTACCTGCATACACAGTGCACACACTATGCGTACACATACATGTGCAGATTTGTGTGTACATGAGTGTGTGCTGTGGTGTCTACACGTGAGCATATGCTGCATTGGTGCTTCCAACTGCTGCATGTCAGAGTGGGTAAACACATGCACATGTATGATTCTGGGAGCATGCATGAGCAGTGCATATGCTGGTGCACAGACTGCAGATTTGTGTAGCTGTGTGTGCTGTGGCGTCTGTACACCCAGGCGTTTGCCGTGCCTGGTGAGGTGTGATGTCTAACCATGCTAGGACTTTCTGCAGAGCAGCCTGGTAGGCAGTGAGCTGTTTATCTCCAGAGCCTCTCTGGACTTCTGGGCTGGTGGGAGTGTCAGATTAGACATGCACCTAGAGGATGTATTTTCCCAGCCTGTCCTGAGCTCCTTTTGAGTCGTGCAAGGTGGGGTCCTGGGGCCCTGTGGGGATGGGCTGCTCCTCCCTGTGGGGATGGGCTGGTCCTCCCTGTGGGGATGGGCTGGTCCTCCCTGTGGGGTTGGGCCGGTCCTCCCTGTGGGGTTGGGCTGGTCCTCCCTGTGGGGTTGGGCTGGTCCTCCCTGTGGGGATGGGCTGATCCTCCCTGTGGGGTTGGGCCGGTCCTCCCTGTGGGGTTGGGCTGCTCCTCCCTGTGGGGATGGGCTGCTCCTCCCTGTGGGGTTGGGCTGGTCCTCCCTGTGGGGGCGGGTCGGTCCTCCCTGTGGGGATGGGCCGGTCCTCCCTGTGGGGTTGGGCCGGTCCTCCCTGTGGGGATAGGCTGGTCCTCCCTGTGGGGTTGGGCTGGTCCTCCCCGTGGGGGCGGGCTGGTCCTCCCTGTGGGGGCGGGCTGGTCCTCCCTGTGGGGGCGGGTCGATCCTCCCTGTGGGGTTGGGCTGGTCCTCCCTGTGGGGTTGGGCTGGTCCTCCCTGTGGGGATGGGCTGATCCTCCCTGTGGGGATGGGCTGGTCCTCCCTGTGGGGATAGGCTGGTCCTCCCTGTGGGGGCGGGCTGGTCCTCCCTGTGGGGATAGGCTGGTCCTCCCTGTGGGGATAGGCTGGTCCTCCCTGTGGGGTTGGGCTGCTCCTCCCTGTGGGGATAGGCTGGTCCTCCCTGTGGAGGTGGGCCGGTCCTCCCTGTGGGGATGGGCCACTCCTCCCTGTGGGGTTGGGCTGGTCCTCCCTGTGGGGATAGGCTGGTCCTCCCTGTGGGGATAGGCTGGTCCTCCCTGTGGGGATGGCTGGTCCTCCCTGTGGGGATAGGCTGGTCCTCCCTGTGGGGATAGGCCGCTCCTCCCTGTGGAGGTGGGCCGGTCCTCCCTGTGGGGGGCGGGCTGGTCCTCCCTGTGGGGGCGGGCTGGTCTTCCCTGTGGAGAGACAGTAGAGCACCCCTCCTGTCTGGAGGCCTTTGCTCATCCAGTCTGTGGATCCTTTCTGTCTTTCCCAAGAGAATAGCTCCCTGGATGGCAGGCTGGAGGGAGGACCGGCAGGCTGGAGGGAGGACTGGCAGGCTGGGGGGAGGACTGGCAGGCTGGGGGAGGACCGGCAGGCTGGGGGGAGGACCGGCAGGCTGGAGGGAGGACCGGCAGGCTGGAGGGAGGACTGGCAGGCTGGGTGGATGAGACCATTGTCTGTGTGTGTGGCCTCGGCCCACTCATATGGCTGGCTCCCTGCCTGTGCTCAGGGAGGGGAGCTGGGTCTGTCTGCCTGGCCCTAGGGGAGAGCTGCTGTCATCTGGGGTAGCGCTCTCACCTCACGGGCCCTGTCTGTCTGGGACGGTGCCTCCCAGGTGACTTTGCACACCCATTTGAAGTAAAGGACGGTGATTGGGTGGAGGAAAGCCTGGGCTGGGAAGCATGAGTTCAAAGGAGAGATCCCCTCACCCATGACTGAAGAGATGCCCACAGCACAGAGCCTGTGACTTTAGAGAGGACCACAGCACAGAGACCCCGTGACTTTAGAGAGAACCACAGCACAGAGCCTGTGACTTTCGAGAGGACCACAGCACAGAGCCTGTGACTTTAGAGAGAACCACAGCACAGAGACCCCGTGACCTTTGAGAGGACCACAGCACAGAGACCCCGTGACTTTCGAGAGGACCACAGCACAGAGACCCCGTGACTTTCGAGAGGACCACAGCACAGAGACCCCGTGACTTTAGAGAGAACCACAGCACAGAGACCCCGTGACTTTAGAGAGAACCACAGCACAGAGCCTGTGACTTTCGAGAGGACCACAGCACAGAGACCCCGTGACTTTAGAGAGGACCACAGCACAGAGACCCCGTGACTTTAGAGAGGACCACAGCACAGAGACCCCGTGACTTTCGAGAGGATCACAGCAGAGACCCCGTGACTTTAGAGAGGACCACAGCACAGAGACCCCGTGACTTTCGGGAGGACCACAGCACAGACCTCAGTCAGGGCTGCTGCACTCATCTCACTGTCAGGACGGGGTGAGCAGGCTGGTTGTGTGGCCCCGTCCCGTGGGACAGGCATGCTCTCCGTCTTTCTCCTGGAAACCCAAGGCAGAAGCCCAGGTCGGCCCTGACCAAGTGCACTTGCTTGAGAAGAGAATGCTGGGTAGAAAAGGCCAGATGTGAGCTGGGAATGTGGGTTAGAGGTAGAGTGCTTGCTAGCCTGCATAAAGCCCTGGTTCCAGTCCTCAGTACCACATACACAGAAAAAAACAAGTGGCGCTGTGGCTTAAGTGGTGGAGTGCTAGCCTTGAGCAAAAGAAACTCAGGGACAGTGTCCAGTGCCCAGGACTGGCAAAAAAAGAAAAGGCCAGCTGCACACTGGCCCTCTTAGGCCAGAGAGGTTGTGGGTGGTTCTTGTTTCTCATTATTTCTTCTGTTTTTGGCTTAGAATGTGCTACTGTTTCAGCTAGCAACTTGCTGTTGGGAGCCCGGGCGCCCTCAGCCCAGGCCCTGGCGCTGCAGACCTTCCTCCCTCCCCTGCACCAGGGTGCCATGCTCCGTGCTGTATCCGCTGGTCTGTGTTTGCCGGGCTGCATGAACGCATAGAGGGCAAAGGATAGGAAGGAGGACAGTGTGGAATTTGGCATCCTGTGTCTGACAGATGCTTCTTTGGCACTTAACAGTTCACAGGAAGAGGCGTGGGGTGGGGGTGGGGTGTGCTTGTGGGGTGCTGAGCTGCCCTGGGAGGCCGGGTGTGGCTCCTTGAGCTTCCAGGTGGGGTTCTGTTCTGCTGTGGTGCCCAGTAGCTGCACCTCCCATCAGCTAAGCTGCTGGTCCCCCAGGCCGTGAGCGTCCACGCATCCATGGCTTCTCTGTGGGCCATGATTCCTTCCCATGCTACCGAATGGGTGGTGATAGCCACAGCTGGTGACAGAAAGAAGCCAATGCTGCTGGACACCAAGCCCAGCGTCCCGGCCACCTGCACAGCTGAGTGGGGTTGTGGGAGCCACCAGAAGTCTGCTCCTTCCTGGAGCAATTCTGAGAGTGCAGTGGTGGGCCAGGAGGAAGGGCGGGGGCACTGCCGGCCGTGGCCTGCGGTGGGCGCTGTGCTTGGAGGCTTGCTGAGGTCCGGCAGCCCCAGAGAAAGCCCAGGGCCTTTCTGGTTGGCCCACATTCTCCCCACCAAGATGCTGTCTTGGGAAGGGCAGTTCCCTTCCTGAGGGATCTGATGTGGTGTCCAGGTAGAGCCCGGGCAGGGTGACCCTCTGAGTTCTGCCCACGCCTACTGCTTGTCTGTGGCTCTCTGCCGGGGGTGTCACGGTCCCTCTGGCTGATGCACGCATCTGCTGGGGGTGTCTGCCCGCATCGCAGCCCTCCTTCCCTGGGACCGGCCTGGAGAAGGCCGCTGACTGTAGGAGGGACTGGCCTTTGTATACTGTCTGCTTCCAAGAGTGGGGATGGTGTCTGTACCTCCAGAGCTGGCGGTTGAGGTCTCTGAGCCTTGGTAGGGGGTGCATCTGATGACCTCAGCACAGTAGGCCTGCGGAGCTTGCCCTTGGGGGTCTCAGACGGAAGCCTGTTGGCCGTGGCTGTGTGCGTGGAGATGCACGGAGCCTTGGTGGGCGGGGCACAAGCCCACAGCTCACGGCTGTTGGAGTGCGTGTGAATGCCTGCCCCTTGCTCCCTTGGGATTGTGTTCCTTGCAAGATGCAGAAGTGGGAAATGATGGCAAGGTTTTTACCAGTCGGCTCTCGGGCTGAAGTACCTCCTGTGGCCCCATGCCCGAGATGTCCTGTGTCACAGGTCAGGCCCTCACACAGCAGCCTGCACGTGTGTGCTGTCCAGGGGTTCTTACAGCCAGGGCTGTGGGCAGGGCCGGCCCACTGACCACATGGTTTGGTTCTACCAGGAGCACCTGGTGTGGCGTGCCTCTGAGGGCAGACCGGCCGGGGCACTGTGTTCACAAAACTGCCAGGCTTTCTCAGCGAGGGAGAGAAGTGGTGGCCGCGCCGCCGAGGCCCTGTCCTGGCCCAGGCGGCGTCATGAAGCTCTGGCTGCTCAGGGTGGCCAGAAGGCGTGGTAGCAGGGGCTTCCTGTGTGATGCAAAGGGCCTGTGGCCTGCAGGGGTTTTAGAGTGGCTGGACCTATGTGGCTAGGGGTGGAAATGCACCGTGTAGCGTCTGGTGACAGGCGGCGGGGCTGCGGGGCCCTGCTCAGCGCAGGGAGTCGGGGGCCTTGGCTCCTGAGGTCTCCTCATTTCCCGTAGCACCCCTCGAAACCCTGACTTTGCCTCTGGTTGGGAAGGACCCCAGAGAAAGTGCCAGTCCTGTGGCTCCGGTCAGGCCACACACTACCATGGCCCTGGGTGGGGGCCTCGGCAGCATCTCTCCCAGCCTCTCCCTGCCACCTGTAGTAAAGCCAGCCCCTGCTGTAGCTGTTTAGAACACGTGTGGCAGGAAACAAACGGACAGTTGTGCTCTGCCTGTGTGGTAGCTAGCGCAGACTCTGGTTTCTGCTCTGACGCGCCATTTCCGGGCACCAGGTCAGGAGGCAGGCTTTGCCTAGACACCACAGGCTGCCGGTGCCCTGGGGCCGGCCGGGCCTGCTGGGGGCTGCTGCTGCTCACGTTACCTGGAGACCATTAAATATGCATTTAGAGGCTGTCCAGGACTTCGCTGCAGGAAGTGGCTGTGTGAGGTGTGGGCGCGGCCAGCAGCCTCCCCCCAGGGCCTCCAGCCAGCCAGCGTCTGTCTGTCCGTCTGTCTGTCCGTCCGTGGGAATCAGCAGCTTTCTCACCAGGTTCCCCCAAACAAGGCTCCGCCCTTCCAAGGCCAAAGGTCAGGGTGGTTGACACTCAGGCCCCTTGGTGGAAGGCCTGGACAACCTCCCCCCTCTGATCCACCGGAACCCCTCAGCTCTCTTGGTCCTCTGTCCTGAGGACCTTAGACCCTGGCACCGGGTGCTCTGGGAAGCGGGGATGTGACCCAGACGGCCCTCAGCCTCGTGTCACCACGGACACGAAAGAGGCTGCCTCTCTGTTCTGTTGTGGGTTTTACTGGCTGAAGGTTGTTCGTTACCATTTCTCAGTGACAGAAGCACCCGGAACTATCACGATGTGAAGCAGAAGGCAGTGTTGCTAGGCCCCCTGGGACTGGCCTCTCCCGGCCTTCCTGAGGGCTGTCCACGGCTCCGGAGGGCTGTCCATGGCTCCGGAGGGCTGTCCACGGCTCCGGAGGGCTGTCCACGGCTCTGGAGGGCTGTCCACGGCTCCGGAGGGCTGTTCAGAATTGGTTCAGAATTTTAGTACATATCAACTTTTGGAGGCTGTGGGCTCCGCCTGAGCTATGAATTCCACGTCAGCCCTTGTAATCGTGCATGTAGCCAGTGGCAGATCATTTCCTGTGTCATGTAGAAGGGATCAGGGTTTCAAAAGTGTGTTTGTCAGTGTGGCAAGTTGAGTGTTGTTAGTCCTTAAATGTGAAGGTGCATCAGAAGGGGATGTTGGGCTATGATGATCTGCTAGCCAGACTGTGATTAAACTTCTGACCCCAGCCTGCCCATCACACACCCTTGCTGGCTGGGGAGGGCTGGCTCTCTCCGGGAGCCGGAAGGCATCGGGCTCCTGCTCTGCCTGTCAGCCGTGTGGCTGTGTTTAAGTGCTTGGCGGTAGACACCTGATCCAGGTCACCGCTCTTCCTTATCTCTCCATCCCTCTGCTTTGTTTGGCTGGCAGAAGCCACCCCGGTCAATGCCCAGCACCGCAGGGGCTGCCGGCTGGGCGGTGGCACCCCGGACGACCCGTGCTGGGAGGGCCCTGCTGGTGGTCCACCCAGCTTCCCTGCCAGCACACCCAGCCTGCACTCTTCCCAGGATTACCCTTGGATCCTTCCAGTCACCATGAATATGCAGACGGACAGGGATGGGGACTCTGGGGACGCCACTGTAGGTGAGCGCCTTGTGGGTCTCCGCGGGAGCACACCTGTGCTGCCCAGGGCCCGGGCTGGTCCCGCGGGGGACATGAATTCAGATCGGGTGTGTAGGCCAGTCCTGCATGTGGATGCCCTCCGAGCTCATGCTTGCTGCCAGGGAGAGCCTCTGTGTGTGGGACGGCTCGGACGGGCAGGGAGCGGCCCAGGCCGGGTGTTCCTGAGACGTGTTCATGTGTGCACAGGTGTGTGTGTGTGTGTGCATGTACATGTACATGTGTGTGCTTAGATCAGTATGTCTCCAGTGCAGACTTTAATTGTAACACGGTGTCTCAGGAAACATAAACTGAAACTTGGGTGTATTTAGATTTAAAAGTAACCAGGGGAGATCTTAAAACCATGAATCCTCCAGGTAGTGAAGAAAACAGCTTGCAAGAGTTTCTGAGCGCTAGAAATGCAGGAGAATTGCTCAGATGGAGGCCTTTGTTTTTAATTAAGCATTTCTTGACTCCAGGATGTCACTTGAACGCCCCTCGGGCTGGCGGCGGTTGTTGGTGGGCATTTCCTCTGCGCTCCAGCTCCATGGAAACCCATGGAAAGGCCTCTCCTCTTGCTTTGGGAGAGACCTACCTTCACATCACTTTCGTGGTGACCAGGTGACTTTTGTCAACAGAGAAGCATCTTCTTTTTAAAGGACTGGAGCTGGCCATCTGAGGACAAGAGTAAAGGCTCGCCATGGTGGTGTCTTTGTGCTGTGATTTCTGTTGTTGCTGGTTTCTGTGCTTGCCTGTGTTTCTGCTTGCTCTCCTGAGCAAGGCTCTCCCTCCCCCACCGGGCCTCCAAGCCTGAGCCTGGCCAGATTTCCAGCTTTATGGTGCTTAGGTACAGAAATGAATGCCCGGATAAGCCTTTTCTTGTGCTGTTTTCTCCTTTCGGCAGGCAGCTTGTGGGGCCGCTCTGGGCTTTGGTTCTTTGTCATCTTGTGAGTTGTAAAGGTGGAGGGCCAGTGTTGAGCTGGCTCTCCACAGGCTGCTAAGGTCCTAACTGTGTTCAGTCACCCAGCAGGTGACTGGTGGGCCGGCTGGCCTTTCCTCATCCCCTGTGTTGGCTCTCTGGGAGGGGTGACTTTGTCCAAGGTCGTAAGCAGGGTTGGCTTCTAGGGGAGAATCTGAAACCCTGTGTCTGTCCCCTCCCTCGGGCAGCTGGGCCGCTGGCTAGTCCTCGATGACCTTAGTTTAGAGCTGGTGACCTACAGCCAGCCCTGGGGCTGGGGTGTGGCCTCACGTGTGGCTGGCTAGTGCTTTGGTCTCCAGTTTTCACCTTAGAACCGCTGATCTCTGTGTACCTGGCCACTGGGACAGACGGGTGCTGAGTGGCTGGCTCAGAAGTAGAGAGCTTGAGACAGACCTTGGAGGCCTTGTCTCCAGAGCACCTGGGATTTGCAGCCGACATTTTCAAGAAGGCCAACGTTTTTGTATTTCTTCCTTAAAGGTGAATTTGATTTGACTTCAGACTGGAAAACTACAGGCGTGTGAATTTGCGTGTTCATCTGCTTTAGTTTCCCACCTTTGCCCTGGGCCTCCTCCCTGATTCCTCCATCTCCTGTCTCCCTCATGTAAGGTGTATTAAATAGGTAGGTTTCATTAGGTAGCCGATAAAGAGAACACCATATGCTGCTATTCAGGCAGGAGAAGTTTAGTTTCTGAACTGCTGCCCCCTGCTGTGCATGGAGGAGAGGCAAGGCTGAAAAGAAAGAAGGTACCCACCCCTGGCCAGGACTTAGCTAGGCCAGGGACAGGAAGAGGTGTGGCCGGGGGGAAAGGTGTGGACACACTGGATCTGGACGTGACCTCAGCTCCTGGGACCCTCTAAGGTCAGATGGGAGGCATGTGACCAGAGGTGACCTAGGATATGACCTAGCAGGAGGGGAAGGTGACTGCTTCCAGGTCTGCCCATTACCTAGGTAACAGATCTGGGCAGGAGCTTGGCCCGGAGGGAGGTGTCCATGTGCAGACCTCACACCTGCCTTTCTGTTGTCTCCACACACATGTCGCCCTGTTTGTAGGTATGTAGTGATTTCAAGACCTTTCCTAGGCACATTTCCTAGGGATGAGCATTTTATTTTCAGCACCTCTGCAGGAGGGAATAGGTAACTTGGAATCGACATAGAAAGTTTAAAGTTCCCAGGGTTCCCCGTAGCCTCTTGTGCTGCCCACAGGAAGGAAGCAGGGGTTCCGTGTTGTCTGCCGCCATTGGCCCCTCCAGCCTGCAGCTCTGTTTAGTCCTTCTGTCCCCAGGGCAGTGTGACCTGCCAATGGGCATGGGGGCCTTGGTGGGGTCTCTGTCTCTGAGGTGAGCTGTCTTGCTTGGTCTCGGGAGGGAAGTGCTGGTTAGAGCTCGGCCATTTCTTGGCTTTGGGCTCATGGATTTCTTTCTCTCCAGTTGTGTTTTGAACACGTAATTGGGCACCACGTTATTGGGGCCTAGGAGTGGCTCATATCAAATTCAGGGCTGTGCTTTGTATTCCTTTGTACACTGGCCCGATGGCCTTGATTATGAAGGTCATGATCAAAGCCTGGGTCAGACATCTGCTGAGGACAGAAGAGGCCAAGGGTCAGGGAAGTGCGTCAGCTCCTGGAGTTCAGGCACCTGGAGTCTCTGGCGTCCTTCACAAGCAGCTTGTGCTGTGAGCAGCTGTGCTGTGGGCAGGCAGAGCAGGCAGCTGTGCTGTGAGCAGGCAGAGCAGGCAGAGCAGGCAGCTGTGCTGTGGGCAGGCAGAGCAGGCAGCTGTGCTGTGGGCAGGCAGAGCAGGCAGCTGTGCAGTGAGCAGCTGTGCTGTGAGCAGCAGTGCTGTGGGCAGGCAGAGCAGGCATCTGTGCTGTGAGCAGGCAGGGGCCATCGGTAAGGCCAGCACACTCCATCAGGATTTGGGGAATTTGAACCTCCGAAGCTTAGGTACAAGAAGTGTTCTTTGGAATGCCATCAGCGCCACACTCTAGTTCCCGGCCCAAAGAACTCAGCAGCCCATAAAGAGTTAGTGGGAAACATCTAAAGTCAAAAACCACTCGAGGATTGGTATGAGGAACTAATCCTACAAAAGCAATCTAGTTAAAGGTTATCTGGAGGGAACGGCTGGGGCAATCAAGGGCAAGAATTCCCTGGAGCCAGACTTTCCTGGAGCTTAAGGACCCTTGACACACCTGTAGTTCTTGGAACTGGGTGAAGAGGCCCCATCTATTAAGACTCCGAGGTGGCGGTGAGGACCAGATGGGCATCCATATCTCAGAACCGAATGGCTGGCTGTGCTGTGTGCCCTCTCCCCCGGGTGGGTGGAGCCTGTCTGTGGATCCAGTGCCTGCTTTATGTGCTACTTATTTATTTTTCATACCCATTGGGGCTTGAGCTCAGAACCTCATTCTCTTGCTTCACTATATCTGCTCTAGACTGATGCTTGAGACATATCTCCATTTCAGGCATTTTCCTGGTTAATTGGAGACAAGAGTCTCTCAGATGAGCTGTCTGGGCTGGCTGCAGACCTCAGATCCTGGCTGGGGTGGGGGGGGGTAAGGTATATTAAATACCACTTATGTTAGGTTTATAAAAAGAGGTTGCCAAGTAAGAACAGCACCACACATGTGGTATTCAGGTAAGGGGTAGGTTTATTCAGTAGCCCTGCTGGGACCAGGCCAGGTTGGCACTCCATGCTGCTGGCCCTGGGTTAGGCCTTAAACAGGAAGAGGTGTGGCCAGGTCGGGGAAAGGTGTAGCCACACTGGATCTGGACCTGACCTCAGGGTCTGGGACCCTCCTAAGGTCAGATGGGAGGCATGTGACCAGAGGTGGCCCAGGGTGTGACCTAGCAGGAGGGGAACGTGACTGCTTCCAGGTCTGCCAGTTACCTAGGTAACAGATCTGGGCGGAAACTTAGCCAGGAGGGAGGGATGTCCCTGTGCAGGCCTTACCGGGGGTTTGTTTTGTTTTTGACATTGTCCACTTTAGCATCAGGAAAACTCATCTGTTAGTGGGACCTGAGCCCCTTCAGGTGTACACACCCCATTCAAGGTGTACAAATTTAAAGTCAAAACACACTGAAGAAGACTTTCCTGGGGCTGGGGGTGTGGCTGGGGTGTGGCTCGGGGTGAGGCTGGGGGTGGGTGGGGGTGGGGCTCTAGAGGTTGAACATTTCCTGGCTAGGGTGAAGCCTCAAGTTCAACCCCCAGCTCCTGCCCCCAGCCCAGCTCTGCAGGGTTTGGCGGGCCTGTGCCATGGGACCCTACTGCCCGTGTTGCCTCAGGCATTTCTGGACTTGTCTCTGACTTCTGCTGGCATTCCTGGGTTTGTTGGGATGAATGAGCTCTTGAGTGTACACTGAAGGGGTTCTGCTGAGGAAAGAGTTGTGGAGGAAGGGGGCAGCTCAGGCTTCTTCCTCCCGCAGACCCGGCACATGTGTTGGGTCCTGGAGCTCACTTCCCAGAACGCCCCCGTGGCTAGCTGTGTAGCTGGGCAGGCACTGCTGTCCTGTGGCAGATGGACATCCCGGCCTGTGCCTGGGGCCTGTGGGGCTAGAACCTTTGTCTACTTGCAGCCAGAAACGAACTGGAAGCCTTTGTGGGGTGCTGAGGGGGCGTCCAGCCCCCTAGCATCACCCTCCGTGGTGCCTGTGCTTGCCAAGCTGTTTCTGATCTGCCCTGCCCCACCCCGACTCGACCCTGCTGCCTGCACTCCCGCAACTCTCCCCCACAGCGGTGCCTGCCTTCTCTGGAGAGCACAGCCCTCTCCCAAGGTTGGGGTGCTGAGGCCTAAGTCTCTAGAGATGTGACGCCCAGTACCATTTGGTGGAACCAGGGGACATGGGGTAGGTGTCCTGTGATCTGCCCTAGTTTGAGTTCCCAGAATCAAACACCTTTCCCATGGGGGTGACTGTAGCTGGGAAGTCCGAGCTAGTATCTTCTGTGTCTCTGGCTAGGATCTCCTGTGTCTCTGGGCTAGGATCTCCTGTGTCTCTGGGCTAGGATCTCCTGTGTGTCTGGGCTAGGATCTCCTGTGTCTCTGGGCTAGGATCTCCTGTGTCTCTGGGCTAGGATCTCCTGTGTCTCTGGCTAGGATCTCCTGTGTCTCTGGGCTAGGATCTCCTGTGTCTCTGGACTAGGATCTCCTGTGTCTCTGGACTAGGATCTCCTGTGTCTCTGGACAAAGATCTCCTGTGTCTCCAGGGAGAAAAACAGAGATTCCTTTCTGTATCCTTCCAGAATCACAGAGGGAGCAGAGGACTAGAGGTGCAGCTGTGCAGCAGTGAGGAGCAGAGGGCTAGCTGCAGCTGTGCAGCAGTGAGGAGCAGAGGGCTAGCGGTGCAGCTGTGCAGCAGTGAGGAGCAGAGGGCTAGCGGTGCAGCTGTGCAGCAGTGAGGAGCAGAGGGCTAGCGGTGCAGTTGTGCAGCAGTGAGGAGCAGAGGGCTAGCTGCAGCGGTGCAGCAGTGAGGAGCAGAGGGCTAGCGGTGCAATTTGCATGAGAGACTTCCTTGGCCTGGGGTCCCAGTTGGGCAGGTGAGGGTAGGACTTCTTCATTTTAAAACAAATTGTGCATATTCTGGGATGCACCGTTGCCTTTTTAGCATGGATGGGTGAGCAGGAGAGTGCATTAGCACACAAGCATTCTGAGCTGGGGTCACAGGTGTGGGGCCAGCCCAGCCCGGTGCCTGCCCTCCATAACTTTCTTCTAAATTTGGCCCAAATCTGTTTCCCACAGGAGATGGGAATCCCAGGGAAATCAGCCCGTTCATCAACAATGTGGAGATGGAAAGAGAAAGTTACTTTGAAGGGAAGAACATGGCCCTGTTTGAGGTAATTTTATTTTACTTTCTCTCAGAGGAAGGGGCAGGGCAGTGACTTTCCTGGGGAAAAATCAAGACTCCTTGGCTGGATGGTCCCTGGAGTGATGGGAGCCTGCCTGCCTGGCCTCGGAGGACCGGGTTCGAGGGCCGCCGGGCACGGCCCCGACGGGGAGGGGTCCAAGGACCGCAGGGCACGTGGTCTGACTCACCTGGCACCTCAGGGTCCTGTTCCACAGGCCCCCGAAGGTGGGGATGCTTCAGCTTTGTGGGCCCCCGTGGCCTGGCACTCGCACCCCTGACTCCAGACCGGCCACATGCGTGTGTGGGGCCTCGGCTCAGCGCCACGCTGGCCCTCGTGCCAGGGAGGGCGGGCTGGCGGCGATCTGCCGAGGGCCTGCCTGAGACTGACCCTGTGCTCACAGGAGGAGATGGACAGCAACCCCATGGTGTCCTCACTGTTGAACAAGCTGGCCACCTACACCAACCTGAGCCAGGGTGTGGTGGAGCACGAGGAGGATGAGGACAGCCGGCGCCGCGAGGCCAAGGTACCGCCGCGCCACCCTGTGTGCTCTCCACTCCGTCACGCATGTTCCCGTGCACTCTCCACTCCGCCACGCGTGTCCCCGTGCGATCTCCACTCCGCCACGCGTGTCCCCGTGCGATCTCCACTCCGTCACGCATGTTCCCGTGTGCTCTCCACTCCATCACATGTGTCCCCATGCGCTCTCCACTTCGTCACGCATGTTCCCGTGCGCTCTCCACTTCGTCACGCATGTTCCCGTGCGCTCTCCACTCCGTCACGCATGTTCCCGTGCACTCTCCACTCCGCCACGCGTGTCCCCGTGCACTCTCCACTCCGTCACGCATGTTCCCGTGCACTCTCCACTCCGCCACGCGTGTCCCCGTGCACTCTCCACTCCGTCACGCATGTCCCCGTGCACTCTCCACTCCATCACACGTGTCCCCGTGCGCTCTCCACTTCGTCACGCATGTTCCCGTGCGCTCTCCACTTCGTCACGCATGTTCCCGTGCTCTCTCCACTCCATCACGCATGTTCCCGTGCGCTCTCCACTTCGTCACGCGTGTCCCCGTGCGATCTCCACTCTGTCACGCATGTTCCCGTGTGCTCTCCACTCCGCCACGTGTGTCCCCGTGCGATCTCCACTCCGTCACGCATGTTCCCGTGCACTCTCCACTCCATCACACGTGTCCCCATGCGCTCTCCACTTCGTCACACATGTTCCCGTGCGCTCTCCACTTCGTCACGCATGTTCCCGTGCGCTCTCCACTCCGTCACACATGTTCCTGTGCACTCTCCACTCCGTCATGCATGTTCCTGTGCGCTCTCCACTCTGTCACACATGTTCCCGTGTGCTCTCCACTCCGCCACGCATGTTCCCGTGTGCTCTCCACTCTGCCACGCATGTTCCCATGCACTCTCCACTCGGCCACGCATGTTCCCGTGCGCTCTCCACTCCGTCACACATGTTCCCCTGCACTCTCCACTCCGCCACGCATCTTTCTGGGCCCAGGGATGCAGCCTGGCCTGAGGATTACTTTCTAAGCAGTGAATTTGCAGGTTGTCAGCCCTCTTTATCTCCCTGGGAGCTCTTCATTGTTCTGTGTCCTATCAGCAGACATCTTGTCTGTGTCCTGTATCTCCAGATGACATTCAGGTCTGGGTGCTGAGAAAGGAACTGGGCTCTGGCCATCGACTGACAGTGTCCCAGCCCCCTGCGTGGGAGTCAGCAGGTGTGGCAGCTCCAGGGGGTCAGGGCAGCCCTGGGCACCTGGGCCCGGTCCCTCGGGCCTGGGCAGCCACAGGAACCAGCCTTCCTGGATCTGCGCCTAACACTCCAGCTCTCACAGAGACTAGACAGGCCCCCTTTCCAGGTTCTGAGGTATTGGCAGGATCACGTTTCCCTCCCCTGGTCTCCACGAGAGTCCGTGTTTCCACGTCCCCTGCACAAATGCACGCTTTGCTCAGCAGAGCTTAGCGGTGGTGGCGAGGAGCGCGATAGTGTGCACTCTCAGCCAGCCTGCGAAGCCTCTGCTTCCTCTGGAGAACGAGATGTCTGATGTGTGGAGCAGAAAGAAGGGGTGGCTCTGCTTCTGGAGACCTGCGCCTCCCTGCCGGTCTCATGGTGTCTCCCTCCGGTCCACTCTGCACAACGCCTCCAGCTGCCCCAGGTGCCGCTGTAGCAGTGTCCAGCCTGACGCTGGCTCTGTGCAGCCATTAGGATGTCAAGCTACCAAGTGGCTGACCCCTGCACTTTTTTTACTGTGAACATAGCAGTTAGTGCTGTATGTTTGAGCCGGCTCAAACATACAGCAGGTTGAGCCAGTGGCTCACCCCTGTAATTGAAGCTACTGAGGAGGCTGAGATCTGAGGATCGCAGTTCAAAGCCAGCCTGGGAAGGACAGTCCATGAGACTCTTATCTCCAATTAATGACCAAAAACCTGGAAATAGAGCTGTGGCTCAAGTGGAGCATGTCCTCAGGGACAGTGCCCAGATCTTGAGTTCAGCTCACCGGACCGGCACACACAATACTAAGTTCAAACACTTCTGTGTGTCTAAGAGACTCACGGGATGTTCAGCGTTAGTTTTGAAACTCTTGTGATTGAAGTCCTAGGAGATGCCTTGAGATGGGCCCCATGGCCTGGTCCTGGGGCAGGGCTGGGGCTGACAGGGCGTCTGGTCCAGTGTGGTCCTGGGGCAGGGCTGGGGCTGACAGGGCGTCTGGTCCAGTGTGG